AAGCCTAGAGGCTTTTAAGAGTGGCACTGCTACCGTCCTTGTCGCCACTGATGTGGCAGCTCGTGGACTTGATATTCCTGCTGTCAAACTTGTTATCAATGTCACATTCCCGCTTACGGTCGAAGACTATGTACATCGAATCGGACGGTGAGTGATTTTGCCCCTGGTATAGACGGCTGTCGGAAACTTAGCTGACATTTTCGGAAGAACCGGTCGTGCGGGGGCTGAGGGTCATGCAATTACCCTGTTCACTGAATTGGATAAGGCTCAATCTGGAGGGTGAGTAGTCTTCCAGTGAATGGGAACTCGGGGATATTCTCCTATGTCATAATTCTTGTTGCGGGGCTAATGGTTTGCAGGTTGATCAACGTGCTCAAAGCAGCCAAGCAGGATGTACCAGAATCCCTTCTCAAGTTCGGCTCGACGGTAAAGAAGAAGCAACATGATGCCTATGGTGCATTTTTCAAAGACGTTGACTCGAGCAAAGCAGCAACCAAGATTGTCTTTGATGATTGACAATGAGACATTCAACCTCTTTTGTATTTGCATCTAGATCTCAAAATCTCTTTGGTTTTGGTGCATTGTGCTAGCAAGTATCTTCTCTCAGCATACAACCTGACCGTGTGCATGATAATTAGTGGTCGGGTTCACAAAAGCTCGAAGTTGCATAGATACTTACACAAATATAATGTATATAGCGCTATACATCAAGGTACCTGAAAAATCTCTAGAGTTGACCCTGTAGGATCCTTTCCTCATAAAAGCTGTCGATATCATGATGCCAGCCAGAAAAGTCTGGGGCCGGGGAAGGAATTCAGATAGCCTTAATGCCAAGGTGTAACGTTGTAGGAATGACCGAATGAATAAAAAGCTCCAGATAGTGCGAACCACCATATTGACGATGTTGGCATAGACCATCCCTTGAGCACCCAAATCACCGACAACTAAGAATACGTACGCTGCTGAAACATAACAAGTTGAGAACACTCCCATCCATAGAGCCTGTTTGCGAACTTCCGAAGGACTAGCAGCCGAAGAAACGAAAGCCTCACTTATACCATTGAAAGCCAAGAATGGTATATAAAGGCAGTAAAGAGATAGTAAGCTACTCACCGTAGGCGAAGCCCAGCTGCGCCCACCCAGAAAATCGAGCACTAGAGGTACCAAAGCTGGACCGAGGGGAAAGGCCACTGCAGCTACCATACTGTAGGCGCGCAGGATGTCGGCTAGATGTGTTTTGGCGAGACTGACATTCCCCGTGCGTCGCTTTTCAGGGCAGTTGCTATGAAGCAATGATGAGAAGAAGGCCCGGCTGCTTTCTTCAATGGGCTGAAAAAGTATGCGGGCCACGAGACCACCATAGTTTGAGGCGAGGGCATAGATCCCCTGGTCTTCTAGGCTTGTCATTGTCGCTAGGATCATTGAATCCCCTTGCGTGAGTAGATGTTTGACGATGGACTGAAGAAACACACTTGCAGCCAATGAGATCATTGGCCATGGCAATCTGTTAGCCACATAGCTGTGGCAATCACTGGGGGTCCTATCAGGTGGTGTCCTAATACACAAATCCAGGCAGGCACACTTACCGCGACTGCAATCTTGTGAGCAGCAAAGAGAAGTCTGGATGCCTTGGCACCTTTCTGATAGCTATAACATAACCACAAAGAAGTGCACATGCATAGCTCAAGTGTCCGAGTGCAAAGGGCAGAACACCAACAGTGATATTATAGTAGGCAGCCCACAGGAAAACAAAACAAGTTACCAAGCTTTTCATGAATGCAGCACTCATCTCAACAAGTGCACGTTGCCTGTACATCATATATCTCTGCATCACGTTAAAACATGGCTCGCTCGCAAGTTCTATTAGGGATGCGATGGTAATTATATTCACACTTTGGTGATAAGACGGTGTTTGAGAAACTTCATCCGAGGCAAGACGAATGTAAGAGGTACCAAGTATCACGGCAAAGAGGAGTCCCATTCCCAGACTCAAGTAGGACATATTGACCACGGACTGTGATTCCACTTCTTGGGTTCTTGGTTGTTTAGTTGCGCTGGATTTGTTGTCAATTGCGTCTTTACCATGACTATTTGACACCGAGGAAACAGAGGTAACAAGCGGTTGCCTTTGAATCGCCAGTCTGATACTTTCCCGAGAAAAAAACAGCAGTGTAATGGAGTATAGGTCCAGCTGGGCTGCAACTCCTAGAAAAGCTGGTGGTAGGTCTCTCAAGATCAACTGATTTGCCGTAAAAGTGAATATCTTTGAGGTCAGTTGCACGAGGACCAGAAGCGTTGTACCAGAAGCTGGTGACGCTAGCAAAGAGCTAGCTTCATCATCCGGCGATGGCATGCTGGTATGAAAAAATGACGACTGATAGGCTGGATTGTGAGGTTAAGTTGACAGAAGAAGAAGACCACGGGTTCATAATCTACTACCTAGATATACACCGGTAATCCACTCCACTTGCGCTAGTCCGCCGGTCTTTCTCCCACCGCCCCTTATTGGTCAGCCATTTACACTACTTCAATCTCGAAAGTATACATGTATGCAGTGTACTGTTTGTAGGACGTACTACTGCACATACTGTGTAGCAACCCGCAAGTCCCCGCTTGAACAAGACTACTATGTAAAAGTGCATTTTTGCGGAGAGTCTCATCCCCCGCCCCCCTCCTTTCTCTCGGAGTCCCGATAATCGCGCGGAGTTGAATAAAGAAAACGAGAGTATGTACTCGTACTCGCTTGAGTAGAGTCTAAACTATTGATTCCATAGCGGAGACGCACACATGATATGCATTATTTTAATGCCAGCTGCAGTACCCTGACTTGAATCTATGCCAATGCACACTCGCCAATACACGTGTTCATGATAAGTCGACTGACCAGGTACACCACAGATGTCGTATGCTCAAACTACCTTCCGCGGAACCCCTTCATCTGGCCTCTTGCCAACCCCTGCCTTCACCCCAGATATGCACTTACGCACCCATTTCATGACACGGTGTTCAACTAGAAAGGCGGGAGGAAGAAAGGGTAACCGCCGTTTTTCACCTTGAAGACACTGAGAAGAAAGCTGTACATGCCAAGCAGAACAGAACCCCAGATGATCACTGCCACCTGCTGTGTTTTATTGTCAGCGATACGGGGAACTTTCATTGCCAGAGCAATTGTTGCAAAGGAGAGGACGGCGTCTGTAAAATAGAAGGATTAGCACAATCACATGTTTAGTCAAACGAGAAACCTACAAATAGCAGCTATAATTTGTGTTTCCATGCCGAATTGATTTGAGAACCCCCCAGCAAAGTAGCTGATTCCACCCCTTCCATCCCCGGCGACATATGGTACTTTGCGAATATGGTTAAACATGTGGCCACTTATGAATAAGAGAATCGCGATAAGGCTCATGGCGGCCCAGAGGTTTCGATTCTGCACCACAGGATACACGTAGGGTGAAAGCACAGTGAAAAGAGTCACTACACCCATCAAGATAGTCACGCCTGAGATTATGCGCATGTAATTGATCGGGCGAACAAGAGGAGGTTTTGGACCATTGGGAAGATGACGGGAGATCCATGTATAAAGCTGATCAGCCGAGATAGGACTGCAGAGCACATCATGTTAGCGAAGGTTACTCATATTTCCACAAAAACGGTGCCATACCCGCTGAAGTCAAAACGTAGGGGCGCATCGTCAACCTTGGAGAAAGGGCCGACCGTCGGAGGAAACACAAGCAGAACCGGTGCCGTTTGAAGCATGAGCTTCTACATATTAGCCTAGAGGTCATGTTCTCGCAAGGACGGTAGTATTCATCTCACTTTCTGGAATGTTTCCTTGCCATTGGTGAATTCAAGGGTAGCATAGAGTACTTTCAAGTCATTGGGTGTAGGACCTTTGTTCCAACTGCGCGCGATGAGGTCCCATTCGGGTTGGAACTCGCGACATAGAATGCATCCGAAACGAGCTTCAGTAGCAGTCAACAACACGGCAACATGATAATCACGAGGTTTCGATGTTAAATCTTCGTAGGAAGAGTCATCAAGATCAATAGGCGCAGATCTCGCGAGTGAGCGATATTTCTCGTACTTGTCTGTATCAGAATTGGCACAGAGGCCATGGGGAAGTATGGCGAGGAACGGGACTAAAAGGTTCAAAAGCTTCATGTTTGCATGCCAATTGGGTGCTTGGTGAAAATGTTGGGCAAAGGGAAGTAGTTTAGCGACTTGCAACAGCCATTGGAGTAGGGTGAGTATCGTTTAAAACAGGTGTAAGTGATCACTTAGGTAGGTGGTTGTGGACTGGGTAGTTAGTCAACCTAAGTTATGGCCTTAATAGTCAATTAAGGTGCAGGAGGCACCACAGCGGCATATTTGATAGGTGTCCACTACTACTTGAGTATGTACTTACTGTAAGTTACTACGTACTCCAGGTACTTTGGCGTGGTCATATATACTTACCCACAGATTACAGTCCGATAGTTACTAACGAGTTATCATCTTGGGTATGATACAGTTTTGAACATTACCACCACGTAAGTAATGTCGCAAAGTGTAAATACCCTAGAAGAGAATAAACTCTCATCTACGTACTATCAAAGTAAATAGTAGATAAAGATAGGTAACATTAGGGTACTTGACTGTCCAGACATTGTTATCTAAGTCAGCTGTGTGCTAGGTACCATATCTTACACGCACGTATCAACAAGAAGCTTGAACGGCGGCTGAGAGCATGTTTCGTATAACGAAGGGCATCAGATAAAGATACTGTAGAGCCGGGTCTAAGTAAGAGACTGGGGAATAAAGGGCAGAGAAAATAAATCGGGTGCTCCAGTATCTTGAATTCGAGGACAGTGATTTGGGTGATTCTTAATCATTGCCCGGAGCCCGCCCGCTCCGGCAATGCTTGAATTGACGGAGAGGAAAAACCTAACCTAGAATCCAACAAATACTCCGTACTTTCCAAATAAGTCTTAGTTGTGTATCACAACATGCCTCGTGCATACGGCTCACAATAATCTGGCTGTACCCTAAGAAAAGAGAGAGGGCTTTCATTATGTATATTGCTTCCATTTCACGTACTTCACGAAGCTGTCGTTTGTTTTGCCACCTCACTTTAAAAAGACACTCGTCCTCAAAGAGATGGCAGGCCCGCCAGCTCAAGGATCACTTTACAAAAGAAGCTGTAGTCCAAGGCTTGAAAAGTCGCGCAGCATTCAAGCTTCTCCAAGTATGCCCAACTGGTCCATATACATGGTGCTACGTTCTCTGATGATACCAACACCAGATTGATGATAAATACCGCGTGTTCCAAAGCGGACAAACTGTCGTTGACCTAGTATGGTAGCCAAGAGTCCAAGTTGCAAAGATTCTCAAGTCAGTTGACTTACATATCTCAATTGTGTAGGGATATGCTCCTGGCTCGTGGTCCCAGGTAATTTTGACTCCTCCCCCTTCAGGACGGCAGCTCACTTTCCTGCCAGGTAGCAGTGGCTCGAACTAAACCCGATGGCAGGGTTTTAGGTGTTGATATCATTCCAGCTCAGCCACCCAAAGGGGTTTCTACGATCCAGGGCAATTTCCTCAACCCAGAAGTTCAGGATTATGTCCGTAAATTCGTACGTGACCCTAACAGAGGCAAACCACGTATCAGCAGCCCGGGCAGTGATGATCAGCTCGGATTCGACCGAGAGATGCCTATGGGAATTGCACAGGTGTCCACAGAAAACATTTCAGGGGATAAAGCCATTGAACGAACAGTTGATGTGGTGTTAAGCGATATGTCTGCTCCCTGGCACCAAACTACTGGGTTTGGAAAGAGAAGTCTAAGTGATCCCTATAATAGGATGATGAATACGAGCGGTATAAGCTTCAAAGACCACGTTGGCAGTATGGTGTGTGGTGTAGTCCCTCTTTGCCAGTAAAAAAATGCTAAGTTTCATAGGACCTATGCCATGCAGCTTTGCAGTTCAGCCGTGAGGTTCTCCGAACTGGTGGCCATTTTATCTGCAAATATTACCAAGGGACTGAAGAGAAAGAATTTGAGAGACAGCTTAGAGATCTTTTTCAGAGGGTTCACAGGCACAAGCCCGAGTCTTCGCGTGATGTAAGCTTCCACATTGAGATTGTACTGGACGTATACAACCCGTCAAAAACATTGCTAATCCTAGGATAGGAGTCGAAAGAATCATACTTTATTGGTATCAGTCGAAGATAGACCCGGCCTCCGACCCCAAGGCTTGTATAATCTCTGACTACAGATCTGACTGGTCGACGTTCTTGCTTCCGTCAGAATCAGAATCTTCATCCCACTCAATGTCAGCAAGTGATGCTTCCGCGGATGCTTGGACCTGGTTCAGCGTCAGTTTCATAGAGTTCATGTTCATCCTTGTGATCTGATACAGGCGTGTCCAGTTGTGATGTATGCCTAATGGAACAGGCGAAAGTATATCGATGGAAACATATAAGATAATAACCTACTTCTTTCAGTCCGCTCAGCTCTTCCAAATAACCAAGCTCATTCAAAGCTCTGTGTATGAAGTTCCAGCCATCCCTCTTAAATGTCTCGACGATGTTGTCTGAACAGGCGCTGCAGTATTTGTAGTTCTGACCTACGACCGAGACATTTTCAAAGGTTGACAAAAATCCTCGTATTTGATGCGGCAAAAGGCCCAATGGATGGTCTCCTTGGTCATGATCCCGTGAATTTTGAGCCGGCGCTGCTGCACCCAGCGGGTGTTGAATAATGGAGATGAGAAGCTCCACCAGCATAGCGGACGCTATAGCGGCCACTCCAGGTCGAGTAACAGTACATTGCTGATCGAGCGTTTGATCTTTGGTGGACTAGCAGATGTTCAGATCTCTAGTCAAGAATCAATCGATCTAATACTCACATTCATTGGCGCAACAACATCGTTGCAGAAGTAGCAGCCTAGTTGCTCCGAGTCCTGAATTTTTGATTTGACTCCGTGGCGCATCACCACAAAGGAATCGAAACCTAGCGCTGCATTCATAACAATTTTACCTGCAGCCTTGCCCATGACCGTAGGTAGCCATCGAGATTCTCGTGTATCCATCAGGAGAAATACTACGTCATGCTCATCAATTAATCCCCGCAGTGTCTCGAAGTCTGCCCGTGTCTTTTCAACGTCGATGACAGGGTGTCCAACCATCGGCACGGAAAGCACATAGCCTGCGGACTCCACTCCCGGATAGATCTCAGATAGAGCTTGCGAAGCACGAAGTGCCTTTTTGGCCCCTCCTTCGAGACAGTCCATAAAGTTGAAGAGCGGTTGTCTTACTGGATTAGAGAACGAGACGGAACCATTATCAACGAAAGTGATTCGAGAAACGCCCCAGCCCTGTACAACTTCAGTGACTATGCCAGTGGGGAACGGGACGGCAAGAAGATTACCATTAAGTTCCGAGCAACGTAAGTACCTAGTGTGCCTGCTCCTAGGAGGAGGCATTTGGTGGCCTTTATTTTCTCGAGGTTCAAATTAGGGCTAATCCTCCATTTCATGAGCTTGAGGTTGAGGTCAACAGATTGGTCGGCCAATCTTATTGTACCAAGGCAATTGTTAGCTTGAGAATTCTATGCTTGCAGGAAGGGGAAACTACTTCTTGGGGTTCATATATTCCGTGAGGTCAACCAACCGTCCTGTCAGTCGTCCCGAAGGATTGCGCTCCCATCCTGTGACTTTGGGCAAATTAATCAAAGGAACCCCGCGGCTGGCAGCGTTTGATGCCACTGCATCTTTCAGTTCTAGTGTCAGCACGGTACTGCGGCATTGATCACTGCCTGAGGGAACATCACGGTATCTAAGCACCCGAATCTTGTTGAGCCCCCATCGCTGTTTGGCAAGGAATAACAGATTTCTGAGCGGCCAGCCTGGCGCATTATCGTAGTTAGAGGGATCCGCGAACCCCACAAAGCAATCATCACAGTTTGCTTCCTGGAAAAACCCTTCTTCAAAAGATGAGAGAGGTGCTATCTGCCATTGTGGCCTTTGTATGTCTTCTGTATCCCCGGAACTCCGACTTCCGGACCCTTCCTGACGACAAGCGCGATTGTTAGTGACACACAATCTCCTCGCCAAAAAGAAGCCTCGCTGACGGCTGTCTACAGCAGAGCCCCATGTCTGAACTGCATCGACAAGAGCCATGGTCTCACTTTTTGACAGAGCGTCTGTGCGTCCGACTGGGCTCCGACCCTGGTAAAGCTCCGCGGCTGACTCAGGTTCATCTGCAGAGACCCATGGAGGATCCGAATGCAAAGCAGGGAATGCAAACCAGTAGTGAAACTTGTATTTCTTCAAATCTGCATAAGATAAAATGACGAAGGAGGAAAGTAGAGCAGGACAAGAGTAAATACTCCCATCGCGTATGGCGTTCAATACCTTTAGGAACAACCTATTGTTAATGCGGCTTTGACATAATGACAAATCAAAAACTGACCAGTTCTCCGGATTGTTGAAGCAGACGTGCTCTGTCAGTATTCATATATTCTTCGATGGTGTTGACATTCTTTATCGTTCCCTCGGCGCGGTAGTATCCAGAGGGCGTCCTATATTATTAACCAGCCGATGAGTAAAAGATCCCACTTAGATGGAACCAAGATAGAAGCATAGATGCCAGAGATTATCTCGGACTCACTCATTGTTGGAGAGAGCATTCCCATGTATTTGCATCCGGCATGAGGCGTTAGGAGCGTCCGTAGGCCGAAGCTCATAAAGGCCCAGGACTTGGCGAGCCGAGTCATCAAGCTTGTCATGATTTATCTTCTGGGATGTGAGAGCAGTGTAGAATGGTAGCTCTATATCAGAGGCGAACGGCGCGTAGAGCATTGTCAAATACTTGCTCCGATCATACGCAGTGCTGTGGGTAGCTCAAGCTGGTTAATAAAGGATCCAAAGGATCCAACTTTGTGGAGGAAGCTGATGTTCACCTTTAGACGGCCGACGAAGCTGTATGTAATACACTGCAACAATATTAAGTGACAGCTTCTAGTTAATCGGTATTTAGGAAAGAGTCTCGTCATTTGTAGTATGAAGCAAGGTAGTCGGTCCACCGGTCACCTGTCAGCCATACTTAGCTAAGGTGGGGTTGGTGGGGCTGTAACGAACAGAACCTCGGCGCTCAATTGCTTGTGTCATCTGTACTGTAATGAGGGTAATCTCGATTAAATACCGTGGTTCAGGGCCACAAACAGATAGGTATTTGAAAGGATTAATGAAGTCAGTCGCATATAGGGTTTAGAAACTGATTTGAAAATGAACTGTTTCTATGTGACACTTGCACGGTGAACTGGTATCTATACACAAAGCTATAGCGATCCTCAAGCAGCATGAACGAAGACTACTTATAGTAAATGAGATAATATGACTATTCTATCTGTTGGCTTCGAACTTGCGAACCAAAAATCCCCTCTCATCTAAATAATTCTTTACATCACTGACTGTGTACTCGCCACGATGAAACTAAAAAAGACAATCAGCAAATCATAGAGCTAGACACGTGAGTAGGAGCAAGGGATTACATACCATGCCGGCACCCAGAGCCGCATCTGTGGTTGTGTCCTGGAAAACCTCGACAAAGTGTTCAGGATTTCCAGCCCCGCTGGAAGCAATAACCGGTATCTTAATGGCGGATTTGACATCGTTGATCAGCTCTAAGTCGAACCCACTGTTGCTTCCATCTTTGTCAATGCAGTTCAGCAAGATCTCGCCGGCGCCCATTGCTTCAACAGCTTGCGCTAGTTGCCGTACGTCAAGGTCTCGGGCCTCTCTGCCACCTTTGACGGTGCATTGATACCAACAGAAAGACTGTCCAGAACCATTCGGGTATTTTGTCCGAATTGTGTGGTGCGTAGTATCCTCCGGTTGGCTCACGTATACGCGCTTTGGATCAACGCTTACTACCACAGCTTGATTGCCGTAAGCCTTGGATATCGACTCAATGGCTGTCCTTCCATTTAATTTCCCGCCAGCCTGGTGATATTCTTCGGCTGCAAAAACAGCATCCGACCCAATGCTCACTTTATCTGCACCTGACTGGAAATACATCGTTGCAACGTCCAGGGCCGATATCTGAGTGCCGTCAGTATCAACAGTATCTCTGATTCCGCCGCCAATAGTGAGCGGCACAAAGACCGTTTCGGATGTTCTTCTCAAGATTTCCAGCATAGGCGTATCCGCAACCGGACAGTTCCTGAAGGAGGTGATGTTCAGGAATGTTACTTCATCAGCACCCTGTTCATAATACCTTTTGGCCATGTCAACAGGCTTTCCCAGGTTTCGGACTTGGCCGCCCGTGCTGACCCCCTCTTTCTCACGAACATCATACTGATCACCTTTGGTGACAACGAGATCACCAGCATCATTTGCACGTACGTCGAGGCAGGCGATCACCCTACGTGTGAGGCCGTCTTTCTTTGCCGAAGAAAGCGAGGGTTCCAAAGAAAAAGTCTGCAGTCGATCCCCATCTAGGAAAGCACGGATTGTCCGCAAACCAGCCTGTCCACTTTTCTCCGGGTGGAACTGTGTCGCGAAGATGTTATCCCGCGCTATAGCTCCAACGAATTCTTCATCGCCGTATGTGGCCGTGGCTACTGACCAGCCCTCTTTTTCCAGGAGGCCAGGGGTATAGAGTGCTGCGTAAGAGTGGACATAATAGTACTTGCTGCTAGGCCTCAACCCATAGAAGCTTTGATTGACAGTTGAAGTATTCAACGCAGAATTCCATCCGATGTGAGGCACACTTTTTGTATCGGCATTGAACTTCTGCATCCGAGCAGGAATTACCCCCAACCCAGGCACTTCAGAATTTTCCTCGGATCCAATGAAAAGCGCCTGTAATCCGACACAGATGCCCATGAAGGGTTTGCCGGAATCGATGTGTCGTCTAATTGGTTCTAGATAACCGCCCTCAGAAAGTTGGGATAGGCAATGGCCGAAGTGACCAACTCCCGGAAGGATAAGTTTCTATGGCGGTCACGATTAATCATATGAACTTGCTCAGCATCGGATCAAAAAAGCCCACCTCCACATTCTCCAAGTCCTTCGGAGACTTCACCCATTCCACCTCATAGCCAACTTTATTAATGGCATTCACTAGGGAGCGGACATTCCCAGCTACATAGTCGAGCAGGTGAACAGTAGGCATAATTGGTGTTGACTCCAGTAGTCCTTGTGGCAGATGGAGACCGTTTGGGAACAGCGTCTAGTCCTAGGTAAAAGAAAAGGAGGGTCAAGACACCGAATGTCAAGAATATGCAAGTTGCATAGGCTTTGTCAACTTAACTTTCAAGGGAGCCCTCGGGGGGCGAAAGGAACTTTAAGAGGGGATATATCTTCTTTACCCCACTAAGTCGGAGGGAGCTGAGTCATTGCTCGCTAACTTACAGACCACTTTCTGGGACTTATTTTTCTCTCCGGGTGCCCACTGCCAGGAACCGCCGCTCCTTCCCGGGTGCTAGTCACTTAATCTGCCAGCTTAATCATAACTGTATGTCAAATCAACGCAATCAACAAGCGGGTAGAACAGCTATTATTCTATACCTAACTGACTTCTTTCCTCTTTACAACTCTTTAATAATTGATTAAGGCTTCCTAATAATAAGCTTGTAAAACAAAGTGTTATGTTATCGACTACTAAGAATAAGTCTAACTGGCTATAAAATAAATACTTTAGGTATAAATACTTTAATGATAAGAATTTACTATTGTGTCTTAAACTTTCTTACAGGATTAAATTCACTACAGCAATTTTAATTATATTTAAATCCTGGTTTTTGTTTTTTACATACAAATTAATATAGCGAACTAAAACAAACAAAATTCAAATGATATCAAGCAGGTTGAGTGTTGAAAAGAATTATTCTTAACAAGTTAAGATATTAAAGGCGTTGAGGATGTTTTGGTGATGGAACGGCCGTTCTGGAACTATGTAGTATTCTAGAAGTGCGTGGCTTTCTCTACAACACAATTAAACAACGGAAATTTGGCAATACATTCTTATCATGTGGCTGTCATACAAGAAAATATGACTTGCTGTTCAAAAGATAACAGATTTGGAGAATTGTAGTTCGACTTCACTATGGTGTTCGATAGTAATTTTATGAGTATATTATAGTACGTGCTCTCCTGCGGTAGTAGTTTATGTATTATTGTCAGAGCCTTCCAGATAAATCAGACCATTGCGAGGCTGCCAAAATACTGTTCAGTGATTATATTAGCAGCGGTAAAAGCAGGCCTTACCGGAGAAAATTGCCGGAGCCGAACACCGGCTTCTCTCAGAATTGCGGCGCTCTGGAATTTGTCAATTGGATGACATTCTGAAAATTGGAATGTAACATACATCGTTATCCATATTGTATCCCTGCGAGTAAACAACCTCAGAGATACCCACTTGGGCAATCTTGACCGTGCAGGTCAAGCAAGGGCATCTGACCAGCACTAGTTGTTAGCATGGAACACAAGCCGTTCGATACACCAGAGCTTACGTATCACAGTATAATATTGTGCCTTCTCTAATACGTTCTCTCCCAGCTTCTAGCAGAGCGTTCTCTTCCGCATGTAAGCATAGACACGTAGATAAGCCTCGACCTCCTCCTTCTCCACTGTTACATCTTGGACCTGCTTGAAAGTGAGCCTCGGTAAATTCAGGATCTCAGTGGACGTTTTGTCTCACTAAGGGTTCGTACATCCACCTTCATTGCAGTTTGTCAGGTGTCGCGGAGTGCCGTTGTATCCTGTGCTTATTACGCGACGCTCTCGAACAAGCACACACCCAACCCTTCTTTTCATGCAGTTACTTCGCTGTGCAGCTAGTGATGCTAACTCCATGAAATACTGATCCCAGTGTGGGCGTAACCGTTGCTCGTCAGCCAGGTTAATCGCTTTGAGAGCATTATACAATCCCTGTAGTGATGAAGAGGAGTTAAACAGTCGAACCTGAGCACGATCCGTGAGATAGACACGTCCAACGTTCTTGTCATAGAGATGCTTATCGCTCCGGAGAACAAATTTCTCGAGAGTTGGAGGATTTAGCTGCATCTTATGGCACCTATAATGGAGCGTCAGATGTGTTGCAAGCAATACTGCAATTGGACCGATCAGGTAGAGATACACGAGTACTAACCTGTCAACAAGTCTTTTCCAACGAAGACTCACGGGCGCATCGATGCTCACTAGCAGGAAAAAAGGGCGCTGCAGAAAACGATCCAGGATTGCGGACTCCCATATTTCTGTTGTGACCCAAAGTCCCTGCCACCTTCGGGTTACAAATTCCAAGAGAGATTCCGCATTTTCGAATACAAACTCTGATGAAGGATTACTTTCCTTTCGAGGTGAGAGCTCTGACTGATAGAGGTATTCAGATTCATCCAGTGTTCCAGTTGCCACCCCGCTTTTTAGTTCAAGTAGTTGGAAGCCTTCCTCCCGGATAAGATACTCGGCGACTGCATGCTTGCCAGAACAGATACCTTTCGCCTAACCATTAGCCTGCACTGATTTAAGGGGGGGGGGGTTAGAAAAAGAGTAGGGGTTTGAGGGGGAACATCTTGCAGGCCGGTTTTGCTAACCTCCACACAGGCCAATCAACATATCGTTTAACTTTGCCGGTTGCGCCAGATGTAGGGATTTGATGATGGAGGGTTGGATCAATCTAGGGATGCCGAGAAGGAAGATACGTCTTAAGTTAGTGTCTGCTCAAACTATAAGAATGAATGGCAGAGTCTTGAGCAGAATTATTCGTAGGCTAGCTGTGTAGTCCACTTGCTATGTATCGTTGAATGAGGTGTCCCGCAAATTGTGATGTGCCCGCCAATCAGCTTCAGCTTGGTTGTATGATCGCAACTACAGTACCTAGACAGTGCCTGCAGCATACTGAGTACAGTGGTGTATTTTAGTAATATCATATATGTGTTAGCAATAACCCGCTTTACAGCGAATGTACTCAGTAAGTGAGATCCAAGTTGAAGAGGAGTACTTTGGCGAATCTGGAGCAGAAAATCCTTTTTGTCTTACAGCGTTCCTTTATAAGTAAGAATACGTGCAGTACACATAGTAATGAACAGACATCACCTGGCCTTTCTCACGCTCTATCTTGACAAACAAAGCCCAAAAATCCCATGCTCAATATGACGCTGGGAAAAGACTTTATAAACTTTTTTAAAAAAAAAGCTATTAAAATTGTTTATTTAATACTAATTTTGCTTCTATTTTATTTTTCTAATAGTCATATATATTAATAATTTTTATGTTCTTAAAAATTATACAGTTCACTGTAACTTTTATATTTTGGTAATATATAATAAAATAGTTTATATAGACAAAGATGAAGAATTAAAAGATTAAAATAATTAGAATATTACTAATTTATATCTTTGAATTATTTTAGGTTTGTAGGTAATTTAGTAATAAATATAGCAGTATTTTTGTTATAAATAACCTGCAAAAGCATAGCAGAATAGCAACAGCCTATCTATAAAATATTTTATTTTTAATATAAATTAAATAGTTTATTTTAAATAATATATTCTCTATTAGAATTTTTAAATAAATATTTTAAAAAAATAAGAATAATTAAATAATTAAAAAGAATATATCCTCTATTCATTAAATATAGCTGAATTTAAATATGAATTTTATAAATTATAAAAACTAATAAAATAATTTATATTAATTTTTATTTCTTTTAAAATCTAATTATTAAAACAGTAGAAATTAATACAGTTATTTTTAAATTTATTAAAATTAAATATATATTTAAAAATATAAATAAACATAAAAAAACATTAAAATTTTAAAAATAATTTATATAATTATATTTATTAAAATAAATTATAATTTCTTAATATCAAATTTAAAAATCTAATATAAAATATTTATAAAATATTTATTTTAGAAATAATAATTTAAATAATTTTAATTTATTCATCTATAGTTTAATTATATTTTTTAATAGTAATTTTTTTATTTTATAATAGCTTTAATAAGCTGGAGGTTTAATTTTAAAATCTATTTAATCTAATATATAAAAATATTTTTTTTAAAATTTATATTATTTAATAGAAATCAATGTAGTTTTAATCAGCTTTAATAACAAAATTATAGATTTAATTATAATAATAATATTATCTTTTTAAATTTTTATAAGAATATCAAATAAGATTTTTTAGATTATTTACAATTACTAAAAATTACCCAATTATTAATAGTTTATTAGATTACTATTTCTAAAAAAAGCTATATAATATTAACTTATAAACTGAATTAATAGATACTAGCTGGCTAAAATAATAAAAATAATAAAATTAATTAAAAATTATTTAATAATAATTTTTTTAATTTTTAACTAACTATTTTATTAGATTATTTTTAGATTTAGAAATAAAATATAGCTTAAAATATTATAAATAAAATTAAAAGTAGATAAAAAAGTCAAAGAAATAATATATTTTATATAAAATAATTGAAAAAAGATAATAGAAATATTGAAATATTTAAAATATAAAAATTAATCCAAAATAAACTAAATAGACTAGGTATTTTAGATAGACTGGGTATTCTGGATCTGTACTGTAATATTATATATCTAAAATTATTATAATATTATAGTCTGATTCTAATATTATATTATTATATTTTATAAATAATAATCTTTTATTTATAATAAAGTATAGTAATTATAATTCTAATAAAATTACTATATTTCAAGTCTTTAAAAATAGTATTATTATTTTTAATATTATTTCTAAAAAATTTCTGGCTATATTTTTTCTATTTAAGTATATCTAAAGTTTTTTACTTAATTTATAATAAATATAATTATCAAGATCTTACTAAGTATATAGCAAAATTAAATAATCTTATTATTTATTAAATTTAAAACTTTTAAAATAATTATACTTTTTAATATTTTATATATTTAAGTAGTTACTTTTATAAGTATTAACTCTACAGTTAATTATAACTAATTTTTATATTCATTTTAGTATTTTAAAGTATAAATAAAGATCTTATTATTATTTTATATATATTAAATAATATAACAAGCTTTTTATTATATTTAATAAATTTATAAAATATTTTAATTTATTATTTAAAAAAATTAATTAGAATATTTTAGTAGTAGGGTATTATTTTTATTAATTATTTATAATTCTATAATTAGAATATATTATATTATTTTAAATTCAT